AAAACACATCATTCATAACAGAAACAGCTCGCAATAGCCACAGGAACGTTGCTGCAAGACAGGCATATGTAACGACGACTTAGCGCTCTTAAACGCGTGTGTCATTAAATACAGTCCTCCTGACAACAGGCCAGTGAAAAATCTAACAATCTACAGCAAAACCATCAATTATTATGGGCGTTATAACATACGTGTGCAGCTGGACGAAACATACACGTCGAACCCCCCCAGACGATTTAAATCCCTGACGAAACATACACGTCGAACCACGGCAACGGGTTAACACGCAAACCTGACACTAAAGAACACTCCCTACAGGCAGTACTGAATCAGGGAATGTATGAACTGCTCCAAAAATCAAGCAGCTAGGCTTTCAAATTTTGTACCATTTATTGCAGACATTCAATTTATGTGATGTCTACCAGACAGGAACTAGGATTAATTTCTTGAAGATGAAGCTTACTAGGCTGTCAGACTGGTCACTCTACTCCATCTTTTGCAAAGGTCTGAAATGTATGGTGCTTTACCTCCTTGCAGTTTTAGGACTGGTGATAACTGAAATTGTAGTGCTGAATCTTCTACCTGTGATACCAAAGACTGATTACTATTTGTATGATTGAGGTTTTCACAGCGGTGACTATGAAGAATGTCATCTTCTGGGATGTGGTGCCATGTAGATCTTGTGTGAACCAATGTTCCTCTGAAATGTCAGTTCAAACAAGATCTACACGGCGCCACATCCCAGAAGATGACATTATTCAGATTACTGTTTATTTTTATTGTTACCTTGGAAACACAAGGTAACATAACGAATGAGCTGAGAAACCATATCACTCCAGGGTGTGCTCACCTTTGATCCCAGTATGCAGCACTGCGTGGCGAGCGAGGTCTTCCTTGCGCACAAAAGTCTTGGTACACTGTTCGCATTCGTATGGCTTGGCTCCCTCGTGAACATACTTGACGTGCATGATGAGGCGGGACCGACGATTGAAAGCCTTGCCACAGTGCTCACATGTATAGCCATTCTCTCCTGCAGTAACAATGGTTCAGTTTGATGTGAACTGTTGACAGACTTTATACTAAACCTTCATATGCTGACCTTTGTACTCACCTGTGTGATGGAAAATATGAGCTCGTAACTGTGAGGCCTGTATGAAGCTCTTGCCACAGAACTGGCAGCTGTGGGGTTTTACCCCTGTATGAGTCCTTACATGGCGGTTCAGTGTCTCCTTTGCCGCAAACTTAGCTAGACACTGCAATGAGACAGTCACAATGCACAGGAAACTCTGAGAAAGCAAGTGTCAGTAGTATGACGTGTCAAACGGCTCTCACAATATTCACATTATTGACATGTCAACTCATAACTGAGTCAACAAGGACAGAAAAAAAAAACAGTATCAACAAACATTTCAATGTGCAAAGATTTAGGGATTGAGAAGCTTGCCTTGTGAGCAAAATGGCTTGATACAGCGGAATTCTAATAATGAACGTACAGGCAGGCCTGAACATGCCAATGTTCATGACCATACAAAGAATCTATAAAAATGTAGGTAGGCATTTGATTCAGGACCTGTGCAATGCCAATTATGAATAAGTACCAGGAAAACGTTTGCATGTCAATATGTACCAATTGAAAGCGAATGATATTTTCACAATTCTGCACACAGTGCGAACACTACCTGTCAAGGTGCAACGCAGCAGCCACCGATATGCCCTGGTCTTCCTTAAATTACTCAACTTTCTTTTATTTATCCATTCATTCTTGTTTCTAATATTATATATGTTTTCATACATGACTAGCAAGACATATTACTAAGGAGCAGAGACCATACAAGGTATTAGCTTCTCATCTCAACTGCCTTAGGTCCCTTTATTAAAACTAACAAGCAGTTGCAGCGCAATGAAATCACAAGGGAACATACCTCACAACCGGATCCACTGAGAGCACAAACAGCAGAACACAGTTAGTGAAACATAACAGCACACAATGCAAAAGATTAGTATTTGTGAGTAAACAGCATGAAGAATACAGACACTGCTAAAAGTAAATATCACAACTTGGACTAGAAATAAAAGCAGAAATATTAGGTACATGTCCATGTGTAGTCAGCAGAATACAGGATAAAGTCAAAATGTAATGTGCATGATTCCATCTGTTTGTTTTGTATTTGCATGAAACTTGGTATGCCCGATATTTCAGTGACTGGGTACCAAAGCTTAAAGCTGACTGCAGTGACTTCTGTATATTCCGGCATGGCCTAAACTTCAACAGAGCTGCACACTCCCCACCCTATGCTGTTGACTTCGTAAGTTTGCTCAAGTCTTGTTAAGATGTCACACGACTCAGTGAATAATATAGTGTCAAAATGTGACCTACTTCTTTACACTCATATGGCCGCTCCCCTGTATGCATGCGTCGATGCTTCTTCATGGCACCGCTGGATGGGAAGCTCTTGCTGCAGAAGTCACACTGGTATGGCTTCTCCCCTGTGAATCAACAAGGAACCCTCATTGTTTTGGGGAAAGAAACCTGGATCAGTCATACAGAGAACAAGAAGCTTACCTGTGTGTGTGCGCATGTGTATCTGGAGCAATGTGGTGCCATGGAACTCCTTGTTGCAATGCTGACAGTTGTATTTCTTCTTGCGCTTCACCTGGCCCGCATGTGCACGCAGATGCTCACGCAAGTTGTCCTTGCGACTGAACATACGTCCACACACCTACAAGCAAGATAAGCATACTTCCAGACATGGATCTTGTGTAAAATGAAAAGGAAGATTAAAACCTGTCTGCACCTACCTACACAATCAATTTCATGGTTCACGATTCTTAAATGGCGGACTGTTACAGCAAATGTTATGTTATTTCACTACCTGACAAGGATGTGAGGGTCGGGGGTTGCCATCACATCCTGTCTGGATGATGTGGCGCTCCAGGTGGTACTTGCGACTGAACTGCTTATTACAGCGTGTGCACGAGTATGGCTTCAGCCCTGGAACATGACCAAACAAAACATATACACCCCAGTTGTTCTGTGAAGTGACTTGGGGCATGAGGACAGCAGGCAACTGGAGCTCTTATTCACCTGTGTGTGTGTACATGTGCCGAGCCAGAGTGCCCTTGTCAGGGCAACGAGCCTCACATTCTGGGCAGGAGTACGTGTCACCTTCCAAATGGATCACACGTCGGTGTCGCTCCAGACTCGACTTCAATTTGAAATTCTTTGCGCAGTCCACACACTCAAACTCACCTCCCTGCAGACACATGATATATTATGAACAATGGATCAATGTGAAATTTAGGTTCTCGTGGCAGTGAGCTTGAAGACCAGTCTTCTCAGAAATGACACCATGTAGTCTAGCACAGGAATGTCAATAAATATCTATGAGACTACATGGTGTAACATCTTAGAAGATGGTATCTTCAATGAGGTAGCTGGTTCAACTCCCTTTATACCCCTTCCACTTGGAACAGAGAACCAGGAATCTGCACTACAACTAAAATGAAAAATGCTTTTGACTTTGGAAAGCAAACTGTAGTAACATGTGTGCTCACCAGGTGTGCTGTCTCCAGATCCTCCCCACAGCAGTGGCACTTGCCTGGGCCTGTTGCCGTCGTCTCATCAATCAGCTCATTTACCTTTGTCAGCATCACTCCTGCAACATTGTGAGTCACACATAACGCAAGAGTCTTCACTAAACAGCTGATTGATGACTATTCAGAGGGGCAAACAATGTCTTCTTATGAAAATCCCTGGATGCTATCCTGAAGCAGTTCAATCTGGATCCAACCTTCTCTGTCTATTTCTCTAATACCTATTAAAATTATCTGTCCATCTATATGCTGACTTGCAGCAGTCTTCGTGTGTTTTGGGTCCACATAGCCTCCTCTACACTTCTTTTTAAAATACTCTCAATCTATGTTTAGGCATTACATTGGCAGATCAAGTTTTACACCCACATAAAATTATTGTTTGATGCCATACAAGGTAAAAATTCTATAGGGAGTCAAAATAAAGTATTTGTCATGTCAGTGACCCACCTTTCATCTTCTCCCTAAGTGCACTATCCATCACATCGGAGGCCAGGGGGTCTGCAGGTCCCATTACCTGCAACTCTGGCTCAGCCACTGCTTCAATTGCCTCAACCTTTGCCACAGTCACTTCCCCCACAGAGGAAACAGCAGGGCCTGTTCCTTGACAGAATTTCTGGTGGCGTCTGAAACCCTGCATGTAAGAGCAGCAATGAGAAATGCAATTAATTTGTCACTTATCCATCAGTCCCTTCAATTTCTGAATCATAATGAAGCACTTAACTTGATGGGATGTTGTGGTGTATTTCTCACTTTAACAAGTCTTCTCAGTCATTCAGAAGGGACCTGACTGTTGCAACCTGAGAACTTACCGAGAGGTTCGTGAAGTTGCGCTGGCACGCAGCACATGTATACTCTATAGAATCCACAACCTGTGGACTCTCGCCCAACTTCTTGGCCCTCTCACTGGTGGCTCTGAGACGGCCACGCAGTTCGGGTTTGCATGGCACTGGGGAGAGAATCACTGCACTACAATTGTGTTATCTCACTCAGTACTGCAAAGCAAAACTTGTAACATTTCTCACCAAATGATTCATCAAAGCCCAAAATCTACTTTTCTTACCAGTTTCATAAACAACCAAAAATAATCAGATCACAATTGGTTCAATTGTAATTAAGTGGCCTTGTGACATAACACTGTGGTGTATTGGTTAGCATACAGCTGCTGTCAAAGGGATATGTTTCAAAGGCAGTATGCAGGCAAATCCACCATTATGACTGCTCAGCTCAAACCTGTTTACTCTACCGAAACACCCTCACACAGAATGAAAGTGTTGGGCTAGAGGGACTCACCTTGCACCTCAGCAGCGCTGTGGTCTGGCTTTTCTGCATTCTCCTTGTTCTCCATGTGCATGCTTCTCTGTGGGCCTGTGTGCACACAGAATATTTGGGAAATGTCATCTGGATTATGAATTGGTGAGCACTGTGCAGGAAGTGGTCACAGTCTATTTAAAACACTATCAAAGTACTTCCGTAAAAGGGCTGAGGAAAATCAAAGCATCAGTTATAGAAGTCTTAGTATCATGTCCAACATTTGTACCATGCATTTCTTGAATATATTCTAGATAAGTTACACTGCTTGATTGAAATGATGTTCTGTTCCACACAATTCCACTGACTCCACTGTCTCAGCCCTCCATCAATGCTAATAAAAAATGTTTTTTTTTTTCCCTAAAACAGTACTAGCCCACCCAAAACTTAATCAGAAAGTTTTTACCATAGTGAGACATCCTAGAATCAGGACTCATTAAGGAACCTTAATGCAACACTCTGTATCCGAATCATCCTTCAACCCGAAAATGGTGAGGCAGGGGGACATATTGTGCTACAGGGTTCTGTTTTTGCTTAAGATTATTTTTAATCCAACTTGGACACAACTGTCAGGACCCAGTCCATTACTTAGTATTATGAATTTTGGGCTTAATGCATAGCAACTATAAGACAAAAATATACATAAGCAAAATCCTTAAAGAATGCTGACACGGTCTGAAAGCCAGGCAAATTGATTTTAAGGGTACAGGTGCTGACCAATTTTCGGAAGGTAGCCGGTTCGGATCTCGTCGGCGGCAACAAATGACTATCCTCCGTCTTCTTGGCATTCTTCAGTACCTCCAAGGGATTTCCGGAAAAGACCGCTTCCTTCCACATTTATTCTACATCATTATTCACAAATCATCCTATCATTCGAGTCTGTGTGCATCATGTCTGGGCTACTAAGAGCATTGTTAAATGAAATAAAGATTTTAACACAGCGTTATGGGTACTAATGGATACATATCATTTAGGAAAACGTCAGTTTTTAACTTCAGTTCATGCAAATTCCACTTAAATTCGATCACGTCAAACCTGTGATTAGACCACCCCCTGCCCCCTCCAGAACCATTCTAGTGGCTATATTCCCCTAATATCATATTAGGTACTACATAATGAACGTGTTTGTGTATATCAGCAAGCATAATAGCACATAACTTACCCACTCTAAAACGTATACTGCAGTAATACAGTGTTTATTTGATATCAAATTATTCCTACACTCCCCTGTAAGTCGTCAACCTAAGCGTCACCGTTACATCACCAGCGGACTAATTCGTAGGCGCTTCACTCAACATTGTAGCCATCGTTTTATCTTAAACAACCTAGAAATTTTATTAATAACATATTTCACTTTGTTTCGCTCCCAAAGCGCAATATCGTAAAACAGCTACAGACTTTAATGAATGCCATGCTATGCCAGAAAGTAAATCTGTTTGCAGTTAATTACTGTTTAAATTCTTAAGCTTGATCCCAGTTTAGTTGGCTATACTGAATCGCTAGTATCGCTAGCATGGAGCACAAAACCGACAGCAATAATGGCGGTGAGAATATGCTACTAATATTTTGCGCATATTACATATATATTTGCCAACCAATCACAGACAGTTCTGATTTATTATTTTATGTTTCGTTTGTGATAACTGTTCGCAGTCAGTGACTGACAAGTAACGATATTTAATTCATTGCTTTTGCGTGTGAATTTTGATTTGATGACTTGAAACGGGAGTCTAAGCCTACACACGACGTTGCGTATAATGTAAGACATTTTATTTGCACGACTCCCATGCCTGCCACACCGAATGAAATTGAAATGTATTGAATTTTCTCAAGCCAAAAAAATATTATGGTTATGATATTTCATCGAAATTTGTGAAATACTACTTAGATTATATGAGTAGTCTGTTCAGTTGTCTTTGTTGTAACTGAATGGAAGTAAGTGTTCATATTTGTGTTATGACATGTTATACAGCTACTGGTGTAGCACGAAGGGCCGTGGAATGTACCCTGATTGTGTTATAATTTTTGTAATCCTACTTGCAATACAAAATGGATAGAATAAGAATATGCTATGCTTCTAGGTGCTTTTTATCCATCCTGGCGGCAGAAAGGACTAATTTTGCAGCTTTTCCATGGATCCAGCATGGTGTGTCAATTTAAGTTAAATTCTGAGTTATATAATAGGAATACAAGATATAATAAATTCCATTATCCTACATGTAAGTTGACTGTATTTCAGAAAGGAGTGTATTACCATGGTACTAAGGTTTTTAATTGGCTTCCTCCTAATATAAGGAACCTGGCTCAAGATGTTAAACATTTTAAAATTGTTTTAAGAAGATTTTTGTTGATGAAGTCGTTTTATTCCTTGGAAGAATACTTTGATTGTAAATTTGACTCCAGTAATTAACTGTGATTATGATATTGAATAATGTAACGAGTCTTATATTGTTATTTCTATGTAGTGTTATTTGTATTATCAAAGACTAATTCCTTATCCTATATGTAGTGGAGTTCATCATCATCAGTAATCTGTCAAGACGACAGGTCCACAGTCTCTTCCAAAACAATTCCTCCATTTAATGCGATCTAGAGCTTTCTCCTTCAAATGACAGTATCCTCTTCTGTCCCCAAGGTCATCCAGCATCTTCTTACGTCTTCTTCCTCGTCTTCTTGTCACTTCTATCCGCCCCTCTATCTTTCCTTCGATAACTTCTTTTAGAAGGCAGTTTCTGCGTAAAACATGACCAATCCAATTAGCCTTCCATTTTCTTATTTCGTGTAGGATATTCCTCTGCTCACTGACTCTAATTAACACTTCTTCATTTCTCACATAATCGGTCCAACTGATCTTCTCCATCCTTCTCCAACACCACATTTCGAAACTTTCCAGATGTTTCTGATCTACTGCCCTAAGTGTCCATGTTTCAGCCCCATACAGAGCTATGCTCCAAATGTAGCATTTCACTAGTTTCTTCCTCAAATTTAAGTCCAATTTGCTGGTAAAAAGATTATTCTTCTTGCTAAATGCAGCTTTTGCCATGGCAATCCTGGATTTAATTTCACTAGTACACTGTTAACCAGCTACCCAAATATTTAAAACATTTCACATTCTCCAGTTGTTTTTGGTCTATCTTTATTGTGACTGGGAGTGGATTTATGGAATGTAAATAAATGATGATGATGATGTGTCTGTTTTAATGCATGATGTAAGGGCTTTGGTATGTTTTGCTTAATCATTGTCAAACTATTAAAGGTACCCCAAAACTGAAAAACTTCTGAACTTATGAAGGCCATTTTCCTATTACATATTTCTAGCCATAGAAATCTTCTGTTGTGAATATCATAGTTATGTATTGTTAGCTTATAGTCCAGCCAAGAAATGAAGATTAGCCTATGTCTGCATTCAGTTCATTCCACATAAACTCAGAATTTAGCACATGCACCATGTTTATAATATTTACTGATGTATTATTTCTGGGTTTTGAGACAGTATGTTCTACCCTTACAGGGCTCTGGCATAGAGAGGAAAGGTTGGGATAACCTGCACTATTGATTCTGCTAGAATGCTGCACAATAACTATTTCTGTAGCAGACATTTCTTGGAAAGTGATTTCACTGCAGCTGAAAGGGTACACCTGAAAAGAGTGGCAGTTCCATGTGGCTCAGTTTCAGTTCCACTGTCAGACCCACAAACTTCTGGCCCTTTGTTACCTACTCTTCTTTCTTGGATCCCTTGCCCTCAATTATAACTCCCATACTCATGCTGTACCTCCCACCAGAACATGAAGCAAGTCACTGGTGTCCTCTGTTGTAATATATTTCCATCCATATAGACAGTTGTTCCACTTCCTGTCAAATGTCTGCAGTCCAACCATCACCATCATATTGTTTATGTGAAGGTAAGAATGAAGTATCATAATTTTATGAAATATTCAAATTATCTGCTTCAGCTAGAAACACCCAAGAGAAGAATTAATATCAGGATTCACTGTGAACAAGGGTTGGAACTTTAATAGTGGCAACACTACTGTAGAGATGCCATGCAACAGAACCAAATAGTGTTGCTAATACCTCATGTTAGTTACATACCTACCTTACCTCAGAGCAAATGGACTCTCCCTTCCCACATCATGCGCACGTGCAGTGACGAGAAGAACAGAGCCTCATGTTAGCTGATGGTCTAATGTAATGCTGTCATGATGTTTTTGAAACAGGAACAATGGAGTTTGATAAAGATTGAATGTGCCAGAGGCCGTACAGCACGACAGTGTCATCAAGGTCTTCAAGAGGCTTGCGTGGAATCTGCATTGCCTTACAGAACAGTGGCAAGGTGGGTAAAAGCCTTCAACGAGGGACGCCAAAATGTGGCAGACATGCGTCGGCCATGTCCTAGTGTCTGACTGGAGTGTTACTGGAGAGTGATCGATGCCATATGATTCATGAGCTGGCCCGAGAGACAGGATTAGTGCATATGACTGTGCTTCACATTCTGAAGGAATGCCTGGGCATGAGAAAAATTCCATCACAATGGATTCTGCATGATTTGACGGAAATGCAGAAATGGCAAGCTGTGGCTGATTTGTTCGATCGATGGAGCTGGGAAGTGCTGTACCATCCATCATACTCCCCGGACTTAAGCCCTTGTGACTTCGACTTAATTCCTAAGATGAAGGAACCACTTTGTGGCATTTGCTTCAGAATTGTTCCAGACATTCTTCAGGCAGTAGAGTGCTCCATTCGAACTATCAACACAACAGGCGCTGCTAAAGGTATCCTACGACTTCCACATCGCTGGCAGCGGGTTGTACACAATGATGTGACTACATTGAAGGACAGTAAAACTTCGAAACATGCATCTATTTTGTATCAGTTGCAAATAAATAGTTGCCATTATTAAAGTTCCAACCCTCGTATTTTGTAATTGAGTTTATTATCCTTTTCTTAGGTAGGAAGATTTAGTATTTTTATTCAGCTATTTTATTATTTTGGGTATATTATTCAGTTTTTTATTACTTTAGCCAGCTTATCCTGTTCAATATTGAACTTATTTCATTATTTTGGTTATATTGTTCCATTAGGTATTAATCTTGTAAACAAGGAATGTGTCAGTGTCATGAGTTTTGTCATAGTTCTGCAATTATTTTGTTGCTTTTAATATATTATTAAATGCAGTCTTAATCTTGTTAACAAGAGTATTTCAGAATCTCGAGTTTCATCATTCTAGTGAAATTTATAATAAATGAAAACCTCAATATTGCCTGCTATATGTGATTTATGCTACATTAGAATGTAACCAAAGAACTGTGTTCTCAGTAGCTGTCATAAGTTATGAGCAAAGTTATGAGGTTATATCTCTTATGAAAACAGAATTTTCTTTCAAATTACCCATCTTCAGCTTACCTAAACACTTACAAGTATTCTGTGTATGTCATAGTTCACACAGTCTCAAGTGCATTTCATTAAGGAGGTGTGAGCTTGATGTAAATGAAGTGAAACTCTCTCCTGATGTGTATGAGTGAAGTGATATTAAACTTGTTTTGAAAAACAACAACAGTGGAGTAAGAACTGTGACAAAGTTATTATTGATATTCATTGAACTTGTGTTTGTGTGGGGGTGGGAGCAGAATGCAAAGGCTAGTACTGTGATAGCATAACTGTGATACCGACTGTTAGCTCGTCATTGGCAACAACCATTTTGTAGGAATAAATAAGTCATGGCGCCTATGTTGTCAGCCAATAACATTGTAGTTTCCTGGGTGTGACATGAGGAATTGGTTCAAAATGAAACTGTAAAGTGACAGTTGTGGTATTTGCTTATTATTGGCATTGCTTATGTTACAGGGGTAAACAGTGTTTTATGTGAAAGCATGTGGCTTAGGTTTATAAGTGTTATCACCAGGGCCCGTATTTTGATGACATGTCATCTTTTTTTTTCCTTGTATCCTTTGTAATGCTCTTAAGTATATAAATCTCGAATATGAGCTGCTGGTTACAGAAATGTAAATTTTATAGGTAATTTTTTGACATTTTTAGGTGTAAGGTCATTTTTTCATTTTTGGGGTGATTTTTTTGTACTTTTAAGGGTATTTCTTGTCATTTTGGGACATTTTTCTCCATATCTTTTCTAAAATGTGAATAACAAGGAAGCAAAGTGTTTTCTTTTCTCCTTTGGATAATTTTTCTGAATTTTTTCTGGTCATTTT